GGGGGGGGGGGGGGGGGGGGGGACGGGTCGGAACCGGCGGGATAGTAAAAAAAAAAGAAATAGGAGACGGAAATTTTTTTTTTTAAAATCATACCGCCAGGGAGGTTAAAGTAGAACTGACGATTCAAAACGTTTTCGTTCAGTTTTTGATATAGCAAGGGGGAGGCGGGGGGTGGGTGGTTATAACCCATCACCTTTTTGTTCAGCAGGGTCAAAAAAACAAGTGTGCCCATGGGAAGGTTTCCCATCCTCTTGTTCTGGTGACAACTCAAAAGTTTGGAATTTTCTGTCACTCTCAGTGATAAAGGTCACGAGGGCAACAGGAACAGAGTGTAAGGCTCACCATGCACATTACAATCTGACCATACAAATTCTGTATAATCAGCTTTAGAGCTTCCAAAACTATGTAATAAGAGGACCTACCTAATATATCCAGTGAATTTGTATCCAATCAGGCAGGCCCCAGCACTACATACCTGTTGGTAGATCTGAAGGAGGTTGTACTTTCAGATTGTAGTATGTGCACTAAGCTAAAATCTTCCAAATGGGGACACACCAGTGACAACTGTTTAAGAAGGCATTTCTCTCACTTTGTAGATATACCTTTTTACTTCCGGTGATGTCTATAGGACAGGAAGTGAACGGAAATTCCTACTTCTGGGACTCAGAGAGCAAAAAAAGGTTTGTATCAAGTATCAACCCTTACCTACTCTATCCAAAAAAACAGTTCAGCTATTAGATAAACTTTCATCTTTTCTGTAGTAGGGACGCATGACAAGACAATGTCAAACATATTAAGCACATATCTCCTGATCCAGTTGCTGCAAGTTCGGACATGCAGTACGGCGCACACTGTGACATGCAAGCCTTCAGCAGCTTTGCGGACACTAGCAATACAAGGAAAGTCCTATAAAAAAACAACGTCCTCTTATACAAAGTAGCAGCTAGTTAGTATATACCCACACAGCGCTCAGCCACTCACTCTTTACGTTCCACTTTCCCGGAAAAAAATTACTGAACCCCGCGCTTCTACGTCATCATAGAGCGCCTGAAATTAGTGGGCGTGGTATAGTGTGTCAGCATGTTTGTTAGCTACACTCCTGCGTTCTCCATAGCAATGACAAAGCAAATGGGCGTGTCTTCTTCCATGTTGCGATTGTTGTCCCATGGTGAGCGTGGGTTGGAGGAGATAGTTGTGCCTGTGATTGGCTAAGAACACCGCAGTGGGCGTGCCGCGAACAGTGAAGACTGTCACCGGATTGACATAAGGTGCTTCTTGGGACTTGGTGACAGAAGAGTTCCGGCATGGATTGTGCTCAGAGTCCTCATCCCGTCCGGTTGTATGTGTACGATCTGTCCCGCGGCTTGGCTCGGCGTCTCAGTCCTGTCATGCTCGGTAAACTACATTTCATTTACTTGTATACTGTTAGTAATAGGCAGGGGTACAGCGGGCTACAGTTATATGTAAAACCTGCATTTGTAGTGTGAGGGATGCGGGGTAAAGGATGAGAATAGCAGGGTGCTTGTCTCATATGACTTTGCAGGCCCGATACTGCCACCTACAGGTGTAATTGTCACTGTTCCTGGGCTGGGTGTTTATTTCCAATATATGTAGTTTATAAATATGGATTAGCATAGCAACTATATTTTTCAGGAGGAGGGGTCTGCTATGGCACTGGTCTTTGGGTACAGGAAAAGATTAAAGACGAACTTCAGGCAGAACTTGTATTAACCCTTGCGGTGGGTCTACCCCCACACTGCAAGGGTTAACTGATTGTTTTGGTCTAATCTTCTGAACTGGCTTACTCTTAGACCTGTCCCTGGAGCCTCTTTCCCCCTCCGTTCAGCGGTCTAAGATCTCGGGAGTCATCAGGTTCTATACAGGCTTCTGTATAGTGCTGTGAGGATGCCACGGTACACTACAAACCATGGCTGGAGTGGAAGAGACAGGCTGGAGGGAGCGTTGTCACAGCGGCCGGCTCTGAGGATCGGGTAAGTATAACTTATTTTCCTCCCTAGACCCAAACGAGCAGTTAAACCTTGCAGAGCTAGGGTTAATTAAAGTTGTGCCCAGAATTCTTCTTTAATGTAACCCTTTATGTACACAATAGTAAGTAGTCAGCCTAGAAAATGCAGCGTATGTTGTCGCATCATAAACAGTTCACCTCCTTCCTTAGTATAACTAAAGCCAAAACTTTGTCTAGTTTTGGAAAAGGGAGGGAATGGTTAAAGCTGAACTCCTAGAAATTAACTTTTTTTTTAAACTTAAGCTGGCCATACACCTACCCCACTGGCTTTCAAAATACCTGAACAATCTGATTGGATGCGGGCATTGTTCAGGTATTTAGAGAGCCAGCGGGGCCGACTAGCAGGATACTGAAGCTTGGCCCAGTAGGAGATTCCTCCATCCACATAGTTTAGCGTAGATGGAGGAATCTGTTGCACTTTCTCCATCTGACTATAGAATATCTGCAGATAATCTATAGGTGTATGACCAGCTTTACCCTTCTGTTATACACAGATATTCTCTATGAATAAAAAAAACTTCATAAACTAATATCAGGACTATGTGTTTACATTAAGGCTGCAACTAATGATTATTTTCATAATCGATTAGTTGGCCAATAATGTTTCCGATTAATCAGATACAAAAATTAACTGAATACCGTCCTTTATTTAAAATGAAATGCACAAATGCAGTGTTACATAGTTTACTTCAGAATAAAACGTCATGCACAATTCTTTTCTATGCACTGCACTGGAAGGCTCAGCATTGCAGTACTGTGTGTGCCAGTGCAGGCAATCACACTGTAGGTGGGTGGGGCGCCTTTGGGGTGCCATTGAAATGAATGGCACATTTTAAAATACAATGTTATAGTTAATCACTATTAAAATGCAGATACGCTTTATACATCTTCATGCGCTAAAAACACTATGTATTTTCTTGGACAGGTAGATTAGGTCCATTGTAGGATAAGTGTGCTGTGCTATCTAACCTCCCCAGTGTAAAACTACAAAAATGTAAAAATATTCCAACATGTGACATGGCTAAAGTGGTCCGTGTGTCTATGGAATAAATATTGTGTCACAAAAGCATTAACGTGAAAATTGCTACAAAGTGCATTTGAATAAACCAATTAATAAGAAAAACAGAGTGAATAAATCACATCTATATATGACAACTGAATAGTAGCTGGAGAAGTGCACTGGGGCGGGGCTAGATGAGACCGGGTTTATCTCTTGAGGAGATGGGAGCTGTTTTCTATCTTTTGCTGGCCGGCCACCTCAATCCTTATATGCGAGTCCCTACTTATTATTTTTACCCAATAAACCTTTTTACTACTTCATGGAGATCTTTGTGTCTTGCATGTAAATGGAACTTTGATCCTTTCTGAACACCGAACGGTCGAAGAACGTGAAGGGTGTCTATTGCCGAAGTTTTGAAGATTTTATAATTGAACTGATTGTTTTTTCTTCTGAAGCACTTGGGAGGTTTATCATTGCAGTCTGATCCAGACCATCAGGATAGCTGTTTATGATTAGCAGGACATTTGGGTGAGTGCACAGCCCCAAACAAGTGGAGTGCAATCTCACGGAAAGTTTCTTTTTTCTTGTCACCGTTTCGATGGATTTGATTCTTTGTTTGCACATGAGAGAAATTATTATTTAGTTGCAAATTTTAAATTGCGGTTTTTACTGTGTTACACTAAACTACCTATATAAGTGCACTTTTCAGTAAATGCACATCACTGCCTTTGTGGCACTTATCCAGCTACTATTCAGTTGTCATATATAGATGTGATTTATTCACTCTGTTTTTCTTAATAATTGGTTTATTCAAATGCACTTTGTAGCAATTTTCACATTAATGCTTTTGTGACACAATATTTATTCCATACACACTGGGGAGGTTAGATAGCGATGCACACTTACCCTACATCCTGTGAGGTTCCAACATTAACCTCTGTCTGGCGGCTTTTTAATCCTAGATCCAGGTTAAACTTTGTATTACATATACATTTTTTTCTCAATTAGCGCGGATTTACTTCATATATAGATTAGGTCCATTGCATCCAGGCAAAGCCCAATATTGCACATTCACAAGAAATGGCACCCCTTCAATAGTCCAGAACTTTAATGGAAATGGGGCATTGCGAAAATCGCATGACCATTCAGGCCGGCATGACTGTACCCAAATAGTCCTTTTATATCTGTATCTTTTCTATCCTGTTTGCAGTAAAAAGTTATAGTTTTGGACTTGATTTATGTAGATATATGGGTGTGTGTGTATATATTTGTACAAAAAAAAAAGAAAGAGAGCTTCTCTTGGAGCAGCCTGTATCTTAAATGTCACCACTTCAGTGGTCTCCATCCGCTGAAGATATTTGAGTGGTCAGGGAGGGTTGTTCTTTTCCTACTGCATGTAGTGGATCCTTCCACCTGCTCGTACATGTGGTAGTGACAAACAAGCCAGTGGGAGCAACCATTGCATGCAGTGGGAGGAGCAGGTATTCACACCCCCGGAAGTGTGGAATTGATGCAAGGGCTGGAAATCAGTGAAGTAGCAGTGTTTTTGTAAGTGTTCCTTTTTATTTTGCGCATATACAGAGGTTTAAATAAATCATTAAAAAAAAAACTACCAAATTCCTGCCTTTAAAAGGTAAACACAAGCAGTTTTAACACTGCAATTTTGTATCCATTCCAACTTGTTATACCAACTAATCCAATACACTGTGATGGGTAAGGGCACAAATCTACTCATACCTCCTACTTAGAAATTCTTTCATTTAACAACAATATCAAATTCAGTTATATTTAAACCGCGCTTTCTCTCCTTTTTCCTCCTCTTTTTCCCACTTCTACTCTCTCCCCCTTCCTTGCTCTGCTATTTCTGTTCTAGCTCTTCTCTCTCCTTCTCTCCCCCCTACCCACTATCATCCCCCCTTCCCGATTACATCCAAATCATTTGTGCTGACCGTACTTCATATACCGTCTACAGCCTTGGTTCTCAACTGGTGGGTCGTGACCCAAAAGTGGGTTGCGAACCCGTATTCAGTGGGTCGCAGCATGCCTTCGACTTTTCTAGGTGAGAGGCTCCTCAGTCTCCCGCTAGCGCAGCACTGTCAGTTCTTGCACCAAGCAGCCATTCAGAATACAGTGCTTCAGCTTGAGGTAAGTTGGGGTGGGCTGGAGCTATGGCCGCGAGGGATCTCCATCCATGTGTGCATTGCTTACAGCTCCCTTGCATGTCCTTTAGAGGTGCCTGGACCAAAGTGATGTCACATTCTGGCTCCTGACACCACTGCAGGATGTGCAAGGGAGCTGTACAAGCAATGCACATATAGATGGAGCTCGGTCACAGCACAGCAGCCCACACTGGACCCCAGGCTGAGGATCCACTCCAGTTCTCATAAGATAGGGAGACTGGGTGGCCCTTAAGTTTTTCTTTTTGGCGTGTGTACTGTATATGTGTGTGTGTGAGACTGTGTCTCTGTGTGTGTGTCTGTCAGTGTTTCTGAGGTGTTTCTGTTGTATCACCTGCCATTTAAAATTCTCCACACTTTTGTATGCATGGTACTACAAACATGGTTCCTATCTCGCTATTGGACTCTTGTTGGCATATGCCTATTTTGCATGCATACGCCTCTCTGTATACTTTGAAAACACCTTTTAAATAAAGAATTTATTTAAAAAAACAACAACAACTTTAAAAATCTGAGCTGCAAAGGGGCCCATTCGTTTAACATAATAATAAGTTGTTTGTTATAAAATGCGGCCATATATTTCCTTGGTGTAACTGTTTAAAAGAAGGAAACTGTCCTCCTCCTCCTCCTTTTTTAAAAACAAAATGTAAACTCAGTATCTGAAGTCTAGGAAATTGCTGCTACTGACAAATAGCACAGGGGAGCTCCTTAAGGGAGAACTATGAGGTTCTATTTTTGGCGCTTGCAGTGGAACGGAACCCTGGCAAAGTTTTGCCAGGCGTTCGATCGCACTGCGTGTGGAAGCGGTGCCATTGAATTCAATGCACCACCACACCCCCTCCCGCCCCAAATCGCGGGGGGAAGTTTCTCGGCAATCGCAGTGCGTTCCAGCAGCTACTGCTCTGGAACGCACGTGCATTCGTTGTGAACAAGCCCTGAGAAGATAGGCCCTCAGCATGTTGTAGTCCTTCACATGAATGAGCACAGAGGGTGGCTACTTTTCATAGCACACACGGGGACCATGGAGAAGAAAAGTAGCCACCCTCTGGCAGGAAGTTGTGGATAGAGAAAAATAAAACGGATTTTGGAGCAATTACAGCTAAACAATGGCAAAATAAGGTACGCAGTCATTTATTATTTATATAATAGAAGTTATTTTTATTATTTAATTTTTGAGTTTAGTGTTGCTTTAAGCTTTAAAAATAAAGAGAGAATCTGATGCCATGCACAGTTGCTTCAGATTCAATCTGCTCCAGTTTTGATAAATTCACCTCACTCTGTTTAAAACACATACATTGCATTAGAGATGTTAAATGGGCCCGTGCTCAACAGCTTAGGCTAGGTTCACACCTAGGCGACACCTCACCGTGCGGCAATTGTGCACGATTGCCATGCGGTCAGGAGTGTGAACCGATCGCGCTGTGGGTGCCATTATTTTCTAATGGCACTCCAGTCGCGCCGGGATTCCGCCCATGCTTCTGAACACGATCACGGCTAAAATAGCTGCGCAACGTGTATTGCAAAATGAAGGTACTTGCACCTTTTTTCACTCCATTGATGTCACCCCATTGGAATCAATTGGGCCGCACGGTAATCGCTGCCAGCATTGTGCAGGACCGCACAACACCCGGGACGCGCGTCCTAGGTGTCGTGCGGTGTAGTGGAGGTGTGAACCTAGCCTTAGACACTTCTGTTGGATTCAGTAAAGAGGAAAACACTAAGTGCAATAACCAGTAGCTGCCAGTCAGAAATGAGTTCACTTATGTTAGACCAGTACACAATGGATTCTGATTGGTAACTATGGGTACTGCACTCAGTGCTTGGATTTTGCTGATTGCATTCTTGAATGAGCCTGCTGCTAACCCTTTTTTTTTTCGGAAAAGCAGAACTGTTTATGTTTATGTACTACAGCAAAAAAAAACTTGTCTTGTCTAAAAATAGATTCCCATTTGTAACTTATTTTTTGTTCAATCAAAAGAGATAAGCCCTTAAATGCGTCAGATATTAAAACAAAAAGGAAAAATGAAAGGACACAGTTGTATTGGTGAAGACAAGTGTAATTTGTATTATTTGGAAACCTACTTTTTAAGAATAGGATATTTCTTACGTGAATAATTGATTCTTGATGTTTTGCTTTCTCAGGTAAGCAGCTAGAAGGAATTTGGTAAGGGTTCATTTATTTATGTATTTATTAACAGTCATATGACCATATTAAATAAAGTAAATTGGAAGAAAACCACTATGCATATCCCATTATGACACAGAACAGCTCAGGTAACATCCTTCTTTTTCACCATACGACCAACTGTCTGTCCTTTTAGTTCAGTGAGGACTGGGATTTCCTCATTCAGCTTTGGAAGGGAAAGAATTATGGCTAAAACGCCTGGAAGGCGTGAAGTCTATGGAGGTTGTGGAACTCTTTGTGGTTCTCAGGTTGTTAAAGTGGACCTTCACTCTAACATGTTTTTTTACACACTGTGGGGGGAATTTATAATTGCAATTGCGAATGTTTGTTTGAACTTGCACGGAATATATTTGACACACTTTATGTTGACGCCAGATTTATGTTGCTAGTGTAATGTTGTTCATAAATGAGGTTAAATAGACTCCAGGAAATGAGACTCGCAACTCCAGGCAAAAAGCCTGTCGCTTCTTGAAAAAGTGGTAATGGGGACGTCTTAAGTTGCGATTGTTTTGTTAGGTGATGCTCCAGTGCAGATGTAAACAGTTGGGAACTTTCGCAAAACAGGCGAAATTGGAAAAATAGTGCAAGCTCTGGTGAAAACAGGCGCACATGTTAAAAGACAGATTTGCACATTTAAAAAAATACTCTAAGAAGCTAAAACTGTCACAATTGCTTTGATGAATCCCCCCCTATATACTTATACCTTCTGCACTGCATTCTTCTTGCAGATCTGGTGACAACACAGGTCCTTCCTCTTCTCTGCAGCTGGGGGAGGAGGTTCTACCTCCTGGACTGACCAGCACTCACATAATGACATGAGAGCTTCTTAGTTCTGGAGTACTGTTAGCCTCTTCTAGCAGAAAGATGCTGGCTGTCATTCTGCTAGAAGAAGAGGAAGCTGAAGATAGTGGTGTAGTGTGGAGAGAATAAGTAGCCTGGTCACTATTTTTAAATGGTGAAAGGGGGAGGGGTGTTTGCCAAAACATTTTTAAACATTGGATATTGGTTATATTTTAAAGCTCTTTTTGCCCTTTGAAAAACATGTAATTCATGTATTGTATTAATTTCCTTTGAGGTAGCAGTCATCAAAAATCATCAGGCAGTCATCAAATAAAATATATATATATACATATATATTTCTGATATGCCACAAACCACCGGAAAATGAAATTGCCATAATTGTTCATACCCTTTGAGTGCTAATATTGTTTGGTTTCCTTTTTATATTTCAGGCATACTTCTATTATTGTATTTGCTGAAGAATTCTTCTATGGAGGAGGTGGCATCACTAGCTGTCCACCGGTAATACCATAATAAGTGAACAGTGAATCTGTTTTTGAACAAATCCTATTTACTGGTAAAAATCTAATTATTTGGAGAACCTAAAAGATCTTAATCTATTTGGAGGGTAGGTTGATGTTTGCAAACGTGTCAGGACTTTTTTTTAAATTATTATGTGGGCAATGTTCTGGCCTTTAAAAAGATAGCGACATAGAGATAGAGACATTGGATAAATGTTGTCCAATTTGTACTTTTGCTGCTGTCCTTTTAAGGCATGTCCAACCCCCTTCAGTGCAGCCCACCTGGAAAAAATAATGTGCTACTCTCTGCATAGGAATACATGGGGCCACTATATGTATGTGCAGGATGAAGAGGAGCTAGTAGGGATGTTTTCTAAAGCAAGACTTTGCAACTCTAAGCAAGGTTACACAGTAATAATCACTGGATCATGGACAAAGGTAAGTATTTCTGCAGGAGGGTGGAGTTATGTCATAAAAAACAATGTTTACCAAAGGTACAATTGTCATTTAAAGCCCACTTGACCCTTCAGTTTAAATCTGATAAATACATCCTAGGTCAATCAAAGCAAAAGGTTTGCGTAGCCTCGCCATTTTTCTGTAGAAAGCAGCCACAGCCTGTCCCCTGCCAGGATGCTGTAGAGATGGGACCCTTGCTCTCTGTGTGGAAGTAGTGGTCTCTCTGCAGAGGTCCATATGTCCCTTGCTGAGCCAGAGCTAGAACGCTTCAATCAACAGCGTGGACTTTTTTTTTAACATTTTGTGGCAATTTTTTTGCCAACCAAACAGTTTCTATTTATATACATTTATTTGACATTGAGTACAATCAGTCACTGGATTGCAGATCCCACAACATGAAATACTGTATGAAAGCATAGTATTTCCATACTTCAATAGGGGTACAATCAGGGCAGCCATCAGGGGGGGTACGGTCGATACTCATGTAAGGGGCCCGGGCAGCCTGGGGGGGCCCGCCCAGGTCCCTTACATGACTATCGGCCGACAGTGAAGGGCGAGGAGGCGGAGGCCTGGCCCTAGCAGCGCAATGCCCCAGCATTGCCGCTCCAACGGCTTCGAGACAAGCTGGGGCCCCATCAGCGATGCTGCTCGTCTGATGTCGGACTGGCCGGAAGTGACGTCACTTCTGGCCTGTCCGGCGGCAGATGAGGCCATGTGTGCAGGTAAAAGGAGCTATGAAGGAAGGAACGAAAGGAGGGAGGGATGCAGCCCTGACCAGCCCACCTTAGACCCCTTCAGAGCCCACCATAGACCGTCTCAGATGGGCTGTGCAGCATCTATGGTGGGCTCTGCAGGGTCACTCTCAGGTGGGTCCTGTGTCCAGCGCGTCGCTAAGCCCCGTGTCCAGGGGGGGGGGAAGGCCCGGCCTAAAGCCGTGTAAGGGGCCCCAAAATTTCTGATGGCTGCCCTGGGTACAATTATTGTAACTACCAGCTTATAAGTTGATTAGACCCCACTCTGACAAGTGGTCATTAGCCAACTGGAAGATTAAATCAGTAAGTTGTCTATAGCGCCTTCATTGCTAGAAAGCATAATCTCTTGAATAAATTCAGCAGAATATATCCTGTAACCCCAAAAAAAAAAAAAGCTAAATGGCTTTACAAGTAATATTCATGAAGCCTTTCGGGTTGCATAAACAGCCTCTAATAGTAGTTGTTGAAGATGACATATAAGAACCATTCATTTAAAGTTTTATTTTTTTTTCTTTATGGTAGGGGGGGACACTGCTGGGTGGTCCAGACACTGTGGTGGATCTGGGCAACACTGAGGTGACTGAAGAGATCTTCCTGGAGTACCTGTCCTCATTGGGGGAGTCCGGTTTCAGGTGGGGTTGAATTGTGTATTTGCAAGTAATGAGAGATGAATTGATATTTTAAAATTCACCAAAATTTCAACTGATCTGCCTCCTTCTTTTGTTTGAGTATATCAATTTGCTGTGGAGTTTCCCAGTATGGGCTTATTGTAGAAACATACATCTAGAATGTACCGCTGTTTGTTCACTTTGTGTACTTTTTAGCTTGAACTATTAAACTGTGTTTGAACATTTTCAACAGAGGTGCTAAGGGGAGCCTGGAACATGTGTGAAAAGGAACCAAGAACTGTCTCCTCAGGAACTATCTATAAATTTGCTGTATTTAAAAGAGAACTATGGGGTGAGTGAATTACACTCATCCCCATAGTTAGAGCCAACGCGTGACATTGAAACTGTCACACGTCGGCTCTATTGATCAGGAAGTGAGTGAAAACATACCGCCGATCCGCTTACTTCCTGATCATCTTCCTGCGGAGAACGGTGACTATCAGTCACCGCTCCCTGCAGGGATTCCCCCCTCCCCTCTCTGATCCTCCGGTGCTGACTGGAGGGACAGATGGGGAGGGGGCAGGTAGAGCCAGCTGTCAATCAGCCAGCAGGGTGGATCTCGACAGTATTGTCTGGATCCGTTCCCGCTGCAGCACTCTCGGCATATAGCGGGCAATATACTGAGTTTTGGGTCACGGGAGCACACAGTATATGTCTTCCCTTGACCCCGAGGAGAAATATTGGCAAATAAAAGGTTGCCCCATAGTTCTCTAAGTAGACATTGGAAAGGGGTAGGGTTTGAGACAAGTAAAAAATAGGAAGGAGAACTGTAAGTAAAGTACAAACAAACAAGACATTAAAAACCTCTGACATTCAATATCTGAAATCTGGTTTCTACTTTACTCTCTTAACATGCGTTTCCTAACATTGCTTCTAACAATTGTGGATTCTTTTCTTAAACTTGATTTCCTTTACCACCCCTCTCCACCCCACCATTTATATATTTCACCCTCTCTCCTACCCTCTCCCTATTACTGCACTCATCACCTCCTGCTCATTCTGAATCCACATGCTAGGGTTACCTCCAGGGCACTGTGGCATGTGCTCTCATATAAAACTCACTCTCATATCACTTATCTCACCCTTCTGCTTTTCCTGGGGATATCTCTCCCAATCCTGGTCCCCTGTTTTTCGAATATTCACTCTCCAAACCAGCACTGCCTTTCCCCTGGCAGCAGCTGCAATCCGCACACCCTAACTTCTATTCCCTTTGTTTTCTAGAACCAGTCCTTTCTTCTCATGTGCCCTCTGGAATGCCCGCTCTGTCTGTAACAGACTCACCGCTGTCCATGATCTTCTTACCTCCAATTCCTTTAACATGCTTGCAGTTACTGAAACCTGGCTTCAGGAATCCAACTCTGCCTCCCCTGCTGCCCTCTCCCATGGTGGCCACCACTGGACGCATTCATCCAGACCCAGTGGACGGAAAAAATATAATTCCTTCCTCCGTGCTGCCAAACAGACACTCTCATCCAAACCTCGTCAACTCTTTTCTACTTTTAACTCTCTCCTATGTCCCCCCCCGCCCCCCCCCCTCCCTACTAGCTCATTCACTGCCCGGGGCATTGCGATTCATTTCGAAAACAAAATAGATACAATTTGGGATCAAATCGCCACTATCCAGTCACCTTCCCCTATTTAATGTACCAGACCCTCCATCACACTTGTTACATTCCTCTTTTGACCCTGTCACCACACAGGAGGTTACAAAGCTTTTCTCTGACACCCACCTCACCACTTGCCCCTGGACCCTGTTCCCTCACCACTACTTAGGTCACCCTCTTGCTCTATCCTACACTCTTTTGATCACATTTCAATCTTTCCCTCTCTACTGGCTTCTTTCCCTCCCCTCTAAAGCATGCGTTGGTCACCCCAATACCCAAAACACCCTTACTGGACCCCACCAACCTCAACAATCTCAGACCAATCGCCTTACTCCCATTCACCTCCAAACTCCTAGAATGCCTTCTCTACAGCCGCCTGCGCCACCACCTCGCTGATAAAACCTTACAATCCAGCTTTCGCCCTCTACACTCCACTGAAATCTCCTTCCTAAAACTCACTACTTCCTAACTCTTGCTATTAGACCTTTCTGCTGCTTTTGACACTGTTGACCACCTGCTCCTCCTCAAAAAAACTCCACTTGCTTGTGCTACAAGACTCTTGCTCTCTCATGGTTCTCCTCCTACCTATCTAAGCGCTCCTTTAGTGTCCCCTACAAACCTAACTCCTCTTCCACTTTCTGTAGGGGTCCCCCAAGGCTTTGTCCTTGGCCCCCTTCTCTTTATCTACACCTCCTCCCTTGGTCAGTTAATAACCTCACATGGCTTCCAATACCATCTCTATGCCGATGACATTCAAATATATTTTTGTAAAAACAAATGCAAAAAGTGGAAGAGCGCACTACAATGGGGTGACAACTTGTATACACAGGTATAACAAACAGTGTGCAAGCTCTTTTGTAGGTCAGGGAGAGGAACCCTGTGGTAAATAACATGAAACAAAATAAATCAAGAGCGCTACAACTGTAGGTTGGGTAAAAACTCAAGTCTCGTGTCCTCTGCACGTACTCAGCTGGCCAGGCTGAGCCGTTGCGGCAGACAGAAAACACACAGGAGCCGTCAGGTGACTCCGAGGCAGAGCCGTCCTACGGCGCTGTGAGCCAAGATATAGTACCGTTCAGTCACTATGTGGTGGTGACGAGGGAACCTTGGAGTTGTCTGTGCGAAGGGATCCCCGTGGGCGGCGGCTACGCATTTCGAGGCACTGCCTCTTTGTCGAGCCTAAGTGTCCTCGCGTGTCACTAATCTACTAACTGACATATCAGTCTGGATGTCGCAACACTTCTTAAAACTCAACCTTTCAAAAACTGAGTTCATGACATTTCCTCCCGCCCCGTGCTCCTTTCTCTTGAGATTGATAACACAGATATCCAACCCTCCCCCCATGCCAAGGTGCTACGTGTCATCCTTGACTCAGACCTCGCCTTTCTGCCCCACATCCAATCAATATCCAAATCCTGCCACCTTCACCTTCGTAACATCTCCAATATATGCCCCTTCCTCACCGATGAAATCGCCAAACTACTCATCCACTCGCTTGTTATCTCTCGTCTTGACTATTGCAACTCCCTCCTTATTGGCCAACCTCTACACAGGCTTTCCCCTCTTCAGTCTATTATGATTGCTGCTGCTAGACGTATTCACCTAGCCAACCGCTCAGTGTCTGCAACCCCCTTTCTGCCAATCCCTCCACTGGCTTCCAATAGCCCAAAGGATAAAATTCAAAATATTAACAACCACTTACAAAGCCATCCACAACTTTGCACCTGGCTATATCTCAAACCTTGTCTCAAAGCATCACCCTAACCATCCCCTGCTCTCTTCCATAAACCTGCTGCTTTGCAGCTCCCTTGTCAACTCCTCCCATGCTTGCTTCCATGACTTCTCTAGAGTCTCTCCCATCCACTGGAACTCTTTACCCCAACCCGTCCGTCTATCTACCACTCTGCCTTTAGGCGATCCCTTAAGACTCATCTCTTCAGGGAAGCCTATCCCACCTCAAACTAACCACTGAACTAACCCCAGAGTGTGGACTATGTCTTTTCTAGGGCCTATTCTGGCCTCTCTATTGTGGGACATTAAGATGACCTCCTGTGCTGTCACCGTGCAAAGGGCTATACACCTGTAAGATCCATTCGGCTCTTGCTTTGTCAGGTTTTGCCTTTGGAAATGGCCTGTCACATATGCTGCCTCCAGCAGCTATATACACAATGTAATTGTATTTGTATATACATCCCATGCCTTCCACTAAGTTAATTGTTTATTCTAATGCTGCCATCATATTGTCACTGAATTTGCTGCGCTCCTATTTCTGTTTAACCTCCCCTTTGTATTTTTTCCTGAAAGGCAGACATTAAGGTTAGCAAATAAATATATTCCTTTTCACCACTACAAATATCAATAACTACCGCGTCCTATTGCTTGCCTGAACCTGCCTGCATGCAATTTAAGATATTCATGGATAGAAAGTACTGGTATTTCAAAGTACTCTTAGTAAGTTCAGCTATCTGATTGTCTGCAGTAATTGTCTTTGCTCCATTCAGGCCAGGCATAGAGATCTCAGGAAGGGAAAACTCACAATCTACAACAAACTACAACAATCTGGGTCAGAATATCACCTGAAGGCGATGTTAACCAAAATATCTCTGTGGTGGAGGGATCCACAGCATGTTTGCTCTCAGACCTCTCATAATCAGTCAGGGAGTTACCCGTCTCCTCTAGTTCCTAAGCAGATCTGTGTGTCTTCCTCTAAGAATCGGCTAGTTGCTGGCCTGATCACCCCATCTCCCCATCAGATGCTTGACAAGGATTTTCTCCCCATCCTTGGGTGGGAGTGGTTTTCTCATTGGAGAATTATCATCTCGGGGGCTAGATTCTGCATGGAACCTGTCAACCAGAAGGTTAGAACCCTCTTCCTTGGCTGATCAGCATATTCGTGAAGATGGCCTTTTCTGACACTGTTTCCTGTTCTAGATTCACGCAGGTGAATATTCTGTGCCATTCTGATAAGACACATGTTCCATGGATGCTGCTGCTTTGGTGGAAATGGAGAGTCTGGAGCACTTTTAGCCCTGTGACTCTTAGGGGTTGATTTACTAACCTTATAAACACACCACGAACGTGTATACACCTCTGCAGTGTGTTCCCTCCCAGCATGATCTATGGGTGGAATCTAAACACCTTTGTAATGTGTACACACCCAGCAGGTGTGTTGTGCAAAGCCCTGAAAGAATTCCAAGGTGATGTTGGGTAAATTAGCTCTATGTTGTGTTGCTTGCGTTGATGAATGCAAGGAATGTAAATGCATGAGCTAACCATTTTTGTCTAAACTGTGAAGCAGCATTATATATGCATAATGTGTATGATTTTTCCATATATGGCATTAGTGGAAATATGCTTTTAGAGACTTTTTGGTTGATAAATACGTTTTGCTGTGTGAAAATCACACACACCTGGTGTGTGTGTGTTTAGGTTAGTAAATCACCCCCTTAAAGTCAAGGTTAGGCAGGATTATGTTTTCTGCAGGATTCCTCTTTGGGCTTGTGTACTAGTGAGTGTTTCCAGCTCATGCTTCGCTTTATCAGGGTTTTTAACCTGTCTCACCAGTTTATGGATAGATTCTAACTTTAACCTCCTGCCTACCTTTGTTGGGGTATTTCCCTTATCCCTTCAGTCATGCTGACCTTGTGAGATTGGATCCTGGGTTCTTTGCTGGGCTTTAGGGGTCATCTTTACACCTATTTCAGCTTGTGTTTTCTAGTCTGTTTTAAGGTTTGTACCTGGTGAGTCTTGCCTCGGTGAGGTGATTGTCTGTTCCGACAATCTCTGTAGGTGCAGAGTTCTCATTTCTTAACGTTTTTATGTGGTCAGGTGTGTAGAGGCCTAGGGCGACTTCCTCTACTCATTCTACTTAGGTCTTGCCCTTACAATTACTTTTTCTCAGGTTCCTTATCTGGTCTCTGCTTCTACTAGGGACTTGATGCCTTTTCTTGTTAACCATGTTGGGTTGGGTTTTTTTCCTCCCTTTCCTATGAGGAATTTGTTGTTGCACCTCCCGGTGGGTTCAGGTTGTTTAGTTTCCCACTTGTTGTATGGCTGGTGTTCCCTTCCATGCTGAGCCATTCCACTCTGGTGACCATTGTTTCTTGGTTTTGGGAATCAGGTTGATTATCCTCCCCCTGGTCATGTTAGCAGGTTTCCCATCAGGTAGAGGGTTCAGCCACCGCTTGTGCCAGATTCAGGTGTTTGGCTGCAGGCTGTCCCCACTCCTGTTTTGCTGGGCTCGTTAGAAGTTGATACTGTTTGCCAACTACTCAGTTGGACTGCTTTTGCACATCCTGACAGTATATGACTCCCTTAATGGATGAGAAAGAAAATTAAGATTTTTGTATGCTCCTTAAAATCCCTTTCTTGTAGTCCATTGAGGACAGAGGTCCCACCCATATGTGTTTTTATAATGAGGCATTTGGTTCTGCTTGCTGCAAACTGAGACATACTAGGTACTTGTTTGCCTTTTATACATGTTTTTTTAACCTGACTGTATATGACTATCTGTGTCCCTCAATAGACTGTAAGAAAAGGATTTTACAGTGAGCACAAAAAACAACATTTTTTTCCCCCAATAAAAATCAGTGGAAATACCTAAGCAGCTTATATTATGTTTAGCATATAAACACAAGTTTGTGATGTTGTTGTTGTTTAATGAAAAAATATATATCTAACACTGTCTGGAATGGACCAAAATTATTTGATACATATTTGCTGCGTTTCTTTTCTTTCACCACAGTGGGGAGTCCTACAACCTGTTTGATCACAACTGCAATACCTTCTCCAATGAAGTTGCTCAGTTCTTAACCGGGAGGAAAATCCCTTCCTACATAACAGAACTGCCATCCGAAATCCTGTCTACGTAAGTGTTTTCTTTGTCCTATTATATACAGGCAGTCCCTAATATGTAGATTCAGTTATTTGACGCTGCAGAATAACTATTGTCAGATGAGAAGGACATATATTAAGAACTCTAGAAAAACATAAGAAATATTCGTTTTTAATCAATAAAATTGCTTAAATTATTTAAAATTTGACCTATGCAAAGTTATTAATTTATAATTCCTTTATAAATTGGTTATACTACAGAAAAATTGCAGATACAGGAATTAGTGGTACAAAATTAAATTGGGCATCCCTTGCTAAACTTCATGATCAACGGCTATTAGTCTCATGTTTCAGCCACTAAGAAAATGAAGGTGGGTGTCTACGCAGTTCTCTAAATTCACATGGAAATTAGAAAGCAGGGTGTGGCAATAGAAAATAGTTTCAAACTCCGAACATAATGTTATGCGTTTAAGGCTAAAGTGCCCATATAACGAGGGAATGGAATGTTGACGAGGAGTAGGGCTTGGTTTGTCAAAAAAAGTGTATCTAAATTTCAAGAACAAAAATGTAATATTTCAGCTTACCGGCCCTTAGATGTTCTTCATTTTTAAGATATTTATTTTATTTGCAACGAATGATCGTTCCAGTAATGCACTTCCTGACCTAGGGTGACAACTGTCAAAGCTCACTCACTGTACTGTATGTATCTATGAAAGAGCAGAATTGCAGCATTGTCACCCTGGGACAGGAATTGTGTTAAAGGGTAAGTCCAGTTTTTCACAAAATGTGAGAAATGAACTTATGTGTGTAAGCCAATCTGCCAACTCTCCCTACCCCTGCTGTTCATACCTTTTTGACTGGAGAAACCACTCCATTCTAGGACCCATGAAATCAAAAGATCATATTGTTAGGTGAAGCTAGAATGTATACATTTCTGGTATAGAGGTACTGACGGCTCACATACCACATTGTCTTGTTGGAATGTGGAATGATGTATACCAAAACAAAGATGTACATAACTGGCTATAAAAGCCAAACCGGTAATGTATCTATCACTATGGTCTTCGTATTAGTTATCACCAGCTACAATACATACAAAGGGACAAACCATATTGGTACATAAAAAATTGGTAATATAAGAGAGCCTATGATGTGGGTATAAAAGCAATATACACAATGTAGTGAGATGGACCTGGTTTGAGATCCAGTATAGTAATATTAGAGTATAACTCTCAGTTAAAAAACAACTCTTTGGTTGGCACTATCAAATGCTTCACTGAAGTTTTTTCTTCATAGATGTTAGAAAAGATACATTCTCTCTTTGTTCTCCTTTTCAATACACTTTCTGTTCTCATTAATACCACTTTAATGAGATAAAGATTCATGATCATGAATAACCTGAGATCCAATGTGAATCATATGTCACAAAATAGCTGTAAACCGTGTAATATCCATATGCCAAGTGCTTAGAGAATTATTAAGTAAATGGGCACATACCTAAAACTGTAAACATTTGTTATGATCATGAAAGTTTTATGTACCACTGGCCATAATAGGTTTAAGGGCCTGTTCACATGATATCAGGTGCAGATCTGCAGACGCGGTGCTACTGATGCAGTGCGTTTTTGGCCGTGTTTTTGATGTGTTCCAGTAAAAAACAACAATTTTTTTTTTTTTTGCTGGAGTGGGGCTGTCAGTATGTTAGCTGCAGTGCAGGGCGTTTTTGCCGCGTTTTGCGTTTCCTGACCGTACAAAATGTGACATGCAGTATTTTTTCTGTCGTAACCTGAACGGACTGCGCACGTGAGAACTGTAGCCCATAAAACACATAGGGATACATTGGGATGCATTTTTAGTGCAGGAGCGTACGGATCAGGTCAGCACAGAAAACGGACGTCGTGTGAACAGGCCCTAAGAACTATCTGCTTTTTAATGATTGGTAGACTTAAACACTGTCACCTTGCCCATGCAAAGTGACAGTGTTTTTGTACAGGGCTTCACCAACTCTATTATACTCACATTGCCTGCTTTCCCTCCCTGTTCCTTCATCTTACACAGCTGGTTACACTTCCCAGCACTTCGAGGGATGTTGGAGAATGTAACCTGCTCCTCTGTGGCAATGATCGGGCCTATTAGTCAATCTCCAGACTCCATCACTGTGTACATGACTGGGGCAATAATACTACCACTGCAGTGCTGGCTGCAAAAGAGGAAGGAGCAGCTAGGGAGAGTGAGCATAAGGTGGTTTGGGGGTGTCCCTTGCAGAGACCTAGTCAGCTTGAACTGCATGGTCAAGGTGACAAGGTCTCTTTAATAAACATACAATATGAAAGAAGTGTAAAAAAAAAATACCAGCTCTGTTTTATTAATTTGACCTTGACTCATTTTGCAATTAAAGTTTGATAACAGAAACAAGAGCCCTTGTAAAGTGAAAAAGGATATATTGAATACTGCATGCATTCGTTATACACAGGTGAATGTGATTGAGGAGCATTCCCCCTGCTTTTGAATTATAGTGACTTTTTTGACCCTAGCCCATGATCACCATTATGTGATTGATAGATTTGCTGTTAACAGATTTCTGTGTTCTAAATGCAGATAAATTTGGTTTGGTTTTTTTTCTTACATTTTGGTTTTTGTTTTCAATTTTCTTTTCCAGGCCCTTTGGACAAGCACTTCGCCCTTTCTTGGATTCCGTTCAAATTCAGCCACCTGGGGGTAACAATTTTAACAGGCAAAGTGGTCCAAGTTAACTGGAGCAGAATTGGTTTCACTGTGGGCCGTGCCCCTCTTTTTAACTTAATATATTTGTATCATCTGTTTTAAATCCATACGTGTTCTTTGTTTCATTCCATTTGCATTTTTGCAACGACCTAAACAGTACTGGGAAGGCTCATAGTTTTTCTATCATATCATAATAGATGTTTTCTACTTTAACTGACAAAATGGCCTTTTCTTGAGACTCTTCAGTTTAGTAACACGGAGGTATCCACACCTGCTTTATGTCGCTGCTATTGGGGAGGTCCATGAGCCATTGGGGAGGTCCATGAGCCATTGTATCTGAATGGACAAGTTGCTATTCCAGTTTTCACCTGCTGCTTCTCGGGATTGTCTGCCCTCATAACTAGAGCTGGCCATACACATTAAGATTTTTATAATTTTGCCCCAAGGAATGAACTACAGAAAACTTTTTATTCCCCCGTATATGCTAAACAGTGTAGATGGAGGAATCTCCCCTGCCGGCTATGCCTGCCGAACAGTGGTTGCATCTTATTGACTGCAGCCAACAATTTTCTACCCGGCTCCTTCTACAAATGTCGATTTGACAATTCTACCCTTGTCAAGTCGGGTGGTGCCAGCAGGGCCAGCCACAAATTGAATTTTGCCTAATTCAGCAGGTAATGGACAAAATTCAATCTGTGTATGGCCAGCTTAAGAGGTGGGAGAGGTGTCTTAAGCAGTTTAAAGTAGATAAGTCCTTTCAGAGTGTGTCAATTCCCTACAAAGTTTAAGCATTTCATTCCCTACAAAGCTTAAGTATTCTTAATAGTATGTCCTTTTTGTTACCTCTTCTATAATGTTGAAATCATCTGTTTGCTTTTACTAGGTTGTAAAATATTAGCACACTACTATTGTTTTTGTGATGGTCGTAACAATGAGATAAGTAACTGGCTTTTATCAGAGTTATCTGACCTAGTCCAGATAAGCAGAACAGCTGTAAATATTACATGTGTAATGTAGGCTTACAAACACTTAATGCAGTGACCGTATACCACATGCAGTATAAAGGTTGTCTTGAAAGGGTGGTGGTGTTCATGAAAGCATAGTGTTTGACCTTTGCACCTCTTTTGTTCAGTAACGGAAAGTACTTCAAAACAGTGCTTTATGTTGTTTTCTTCTCTGTACTGAGCTTGTTTTTCTGCAGGTTAACCTTTATCCTATAATCTTCTTCTTCACTGGCTCTGATTCATTGGCCATAAGCATTTTCCATAGTTTGATTTTGCTTTCCTCTGCCTGTCCTTGGGTAGGCAGACCCAAAAGGCTACTACAAAATCTGTTCTTTGCCAAAATAATCTGCAAGCCTCATAATGAAACAATGTTTGCTGCCTGCTTGGGCAACTTTTCATTCAGTATATGCACAAAAGATTTGTTTGTATTTTCATATAAAGAGGAATGAGCAAATTGGTTTGCGGAGGTTTTCCAGGAGGCTTGGTGTTACTCTCCCTGTGTTCCAAACACTGCCTGGTCATTAGTAGCATTATATTTTCCTTCACATAACTACACTTTCTTACCTTCTGCGTCTACAAGATGGCCATGTGTCTAGCATTTGGCAGCTCAGGTGGAGTGTTTACTTTGAAAGACCCAAACACACAAATGTCTCTGTAGAAGCATTTAAAGGACTATTTGCTTATTGGTTTTTATATAAATATACTGTAAGAGCTGTGCTGCATTGCTCAGTGTCAGACCCAGATATTGAAACTAGAGCTGCAGCTAACGATTATTTTCAAAATCGATTAGTTAGCCGATTGGTAAGTTCGATTAATCGGATAAACACAAAAAAATCAAAAATGGCTCCAGTGATGGGACTACTAGTTTGTATTGAGATTGTAGTCCATCACAGGAGCAAGCTTGGAGCGGTGGAAAAAAATAGTGTGGTGTGCAATATAGTGAAAAGGAAAGTGTAAAATTATACAGCAATGAATGCAGAATTGCACCGGCTATAGAGGACTACAAATCCCAGCAATAGTACATTATACAGCGCAATGCTCACCTCTTGCTGCTTTAATAAGCAACCCCCTCCCTTTTGTGTAAGTCTCTTTTGCATGTTCATTACTTGTAGTTTAGGTGATGGATCCCTGTGGCACTTAAATGTTAGCTCTTTATTAGTGATTACTCCTCTTTACATTCCTACCATGAGAAAGAGGTAATGATAGCAATGGTACTGTTAGCAGTAGCTGTTGTCAGTTATAAGACTCTACCAGCCCATTTTTGACTCTGATATGCTGATCATATCACCACACCAGTGTGTGGCCCAGTCGACACCCTTCCATTAGTCAAGTCAGTTTTTCAATCAACTTTTTAGTTTTAGTAATTGCTCTGAAAATTCTTGCCCAAACAGTGGCTGCAGCAAATCAGCTGCAATCGCTGCGGTATGATGACAGCAACCCACCTGCCACTGCCAGAATACAAAAAGCATGCATTTTACAGCAGCTAACAGTATCCAGTCACACTTTTTGCTTGGAAAAAAAATGATCAGATCTGTAAAGTAAAAGATGCTTTGACTCCATAAGTATAGTGAGCATGCAAAAATAATTTTATATTAAAGTGAATATGAAAATTGTAAAATATGCCATTTTAGCCACCGCTCCAAGCTCACTCTCGTGATGGACTACAATCTCAATACAAATTATTAAACTAATACGAGATCATAGGCCATCACGGGAGCGAGCTTGGAACGGTGGCTACTATACAACACACAGAGACCATGAGGAACAAATGTTGCCACCCTCCAGAAGGAAGGACAGTGTGAGCACCAATTCAGAGATGATTTGAGGATCTACAGCCCAGTGATGCACAAATAAGGTACTTGAATGCTATTTTTTTAGCTTAACTCCTGAGTTTTTAGTGTTACTTTAAGATCACAAACACACCTTCCAGTAAAATATGTGACATATTTTGTGGAAAGGTGTCTTTTATGATTTTAAATTGTGTGTATTTAATGGAAATGCACCATAATTTCTCTTTTGTGTCATTAGTGTAAAGTTCATCAGATGTCTCATTTCTACTCATTTGTGTTTTGCATTTTGCATGGGGCTTTCCAATTGGAGATTTGTACTCACGAAGCTACATAGAGGGTGTGTTGCATTCAGTCAGTCTGATACAACAGATAGGAAGGAGCACGAGCTGCTGGACCTCCTATTAAAATCAGTTTGCTTGTTTCAGTAAGTCCTTTTTACATATGGTTATAGCACGGTACATATAAGATTGGATGGTCGGTCATGCTTTAGGGAAGGTCCGGATGAAAAAGTACCCTGGTGCACTTTTGTTTTTCAGCTTTGTATGTCTGGTCTTCAACAAAGTAACTGACAATATCTAATAATTATATCACATCCATAGTATGTTGAAATACTGCGATTAAATGATGCCAGGTTTAAAAAGCTGCTTTTTCTAGTAAGTTGCTTTTAGTCTCATAAAAGCAATTCTGTGTCCCAGTAAGATATTACTATAGAGGGTGGCTATCGTCAGCGTTGGCTATTTTGTTGAACTGTTAAAGACTGATGCTATAAACGTTCCACCCAATGTATAACTGTGCAAATGCCATTCTCACAGCATTCCCGCCATTTGATGGAGCAGGAGCATAGGAAATTCCTATGCACCTCGGCTGCATCTAGTGGCAGGAATGCCATGCGCAAAGTATTCAACAAGCTATACACTGGTCGTAACATTTATACATCAGCCCCTTACTATCATTAAAAATGTAAATTTACTTGGATTTTTAGCTCTTCTCCAAGTGCAGTATACCATTTTAAATGGGTTGCTGCACATTACAGCACTTTGTGTTACTTGAAAATATTTCTATTTCAATCTTTCAGCTGTTTTTATCTGAAAAGCTCAAATATTTTTGTTGACCAGGGCCATTCAGCAAGCTTTTGTTTTCTTTCAAAAGCAGCCACAGCTTGAGTAGAAAAGCCTGTTCTCTCAGCATCTGCAGATTGGGACCCTTGCTGTTTGTGGGGAAGCAGTGGTCTCATTGAAGAGGTCTGACATGCCCCTACTTAATCAGACCTACTGTATATCTCTGTAATCTGCAAAGCTCATGCTGCTTGCTGATTAGAGAGCTCTGGCTCTGACACAGTAGAGGGATGCTGGACCTTTGCAAAGAGATCACTGCTTCCCCACACAAAGCAAGGATCCCTCTCTGCAGAATGCAGGCAGAACACAGGCTTTTCTATCCAAGCTGTGGCTGTTTAAAAAAGAAATCTCTAAGACTTTGCACACCTTTTAATGCACCTAGAGTGTATTTAACTCATTTAAGATGAAAGTTCAGTTGGCCTTTTAATCTGCCGCTGACACCCCCCAAAACTGTTAATGTTTGGAGCTTCAGAGTAACCATTTTGCAGACTGTTAGTAACCCATTCCTGTGTATAATACAGTATATCGCACATTATACATGCCACCCTGTCTGCCAGTGCAATATGGTTAGGAACCTGTGCATTTTGCAATTTATTTGTAGAATAGTGTACAGTGCATTGACAGTTGACCCGCTCAGGGTCTTTATACCAAGAACGGAACTGCTAACAGAGTATTGCAGCAGGTTGCAGACCTGGGTGAGCAAACTGCCTCTTTCAGTCTATGCCCACAGACTTTGCATGCCTTGTATAGATACGACGTCTGATCTGCTTATATACCAAGGATAGCCAGTCAACTGGGATGGGGGGAGGAAATTACAAAACAATTGGCCTAGAAGGACAAGAAGTATAAATCCAGCTCTAAGAATATTTGGACTTTCCCACACAAATACAGGAGAATTGTATTAATGGACTCTTTATGGTTAAATAAAATGAAAGGAAAGCTCTTCAAAGAGAAGTACATAGGTTACCATTACAAACTTCCTACTGAAATACTAGCTGCCGGACAAGTCCTTTTGACTTAATTACTTTCTGAGTCTTGGACCTGGAACATGCATGCAACCAGGGAAGTCAGAAGGAAGTCCAAACTCATTATATGAATTCTTGTTCAGGTCAGTGACTCGGGGAAATATCGAAGTCATTTGATCTGTAGGACAGTGAAGCATTTAGTATTTTCAGAAGTAAAGGTCAGAAAAGTCATCCTCTATATTCTTGCAGCACAGGCTTCCTTGAACAATTGGAGAACTCTCATTCACTTAGCAAAGTGAAACTTTGTGCAAATCATGTGCGGGGGAGTTTAAAACAGAAATATGCCTTTTACTTTGTATACAATGGAATTCTTGAATTGAAAAGAGCTTCTTT